GGGGGGGGGGGGGAATCTTATGTAAATTGGGACAACCCAGCAATGTTATTTTTCCTATTAATAATAGAGCATTGCCCTAGTGCACTAAGCTTCCACTAAGTACAAGGTCCAGGGAAGGGCCAGCGCCAGACCATAACTACTGTAACGCAGCATTACCTTGTATTTCTACAAGAGCTATTTCCATGGATTGTACGTGACCTCCTATTCACACGACGACAACTCCTACCATTACGTTAAGGCTCCCCTTCAAAGAGTGGAGTACATTCATAATATAATATAAACATTTACATCACATCTACACCTACCTTTCTCAATATTTTTTTTTCTATTCCCAACAGATTTTTTTGATAACCTAGAAATCCACGAGGGCCATCGGTGCACAGTTCGAACTCGGTGGATAATGGCCTTCCCCTCTACCCTTCTCTACTGAAATACACGGCTTTTGTCTGCGCCAGGGATCGAACCCATGATGTGTGCCTAACTCATAGATCACGCGTTGCACCCTTATCACTAGAACAAAGCCCTGGGGGCATATACCTAAAAGATTACAAACTAACTAGCGATACACATGCATTTTCCACTTGATTAACAAACAACAAACATTAATAATTGCACCAAGTGTAACATGTGAAGATAAATCCGTAACAAACAGAGTAGATATAACCATGGATGGATAAAGGTAAATAAACAAATCTGCAGTACTTTTACATGTTAAGTAATGCAAGGTCATTCTTAGGTACAGAATTCAACTAAAACTGCAACTAACATAAATAAAATTACCTCATAGACAAATAAATTTACAGACTCATTGTCAGGTACAGAATCACGGCCTCTGCATTGAATCTAATAGACATAAGAGATTCAAATTCAGGACAACAACCATAATTCAGAGAGAAAAAACTACTCCCCCACCACCTATCCTCCTCCACGACTTTATTACCATGTACCAACCTTAACATGCTTGATGCCTTCCTTCCTCCAATCTGACAATGAATAATATCGATTTGTATTTGTGAGATCAATCACCATCCCAAGCTGAAATTTGTAACATGAAATGAGTCAGTTGTAGGATTTAGCAGATCCTCTGTTGTCAAAGTAACCTAAATGAATTAACGGGCCAGAATTAAGAAGGCATCTACTGACATTCTATCATACTAAGTCGCACAACAAAGTAGCAAATAAGCCTCGGGTTTGATATAAAACATCTCCAAGACAATATAATTTATCAGTCATATAAAACATCTCTAAAACCATAATTCATAAGCAGCACCTTGTTTTCAGAAACTGATTTGCACTAGTTATCTAAGTCAAACCTAGAATCTACAAGATATATAACAAACAAATGCACTGCCCACAACGTAACAAGAAAAGCATCAAACAGCAATACAATTTTGCCTCATGATAACATCTAGGAATCAAGATTTTTAAAGATAAAATCCAGATCAAGAGGATGAACAAAGAACCACATTCAGGTTAACACACTCACCTTTCTTCCTAAAACTCTCTGTTGGTGGAGGACTTGCCTAAACGAGTATCGTTTGCCGGGAAGAACACAGTCGTTGAAAGTTTCATCCAGAGGAACCTTTGAAGGAATAATGCAACCTATCTCCTGTCCAAATGCAGGACAATCCAACCAACCTGCATAAGCAATTGAAAAGGTAAAATGATGTAATAGAACTAAGGGAAGTCAGGGAGCGGGAAAAAGGAACAAGAACCTTTGTTGAAATAATAGTCAAAGAAGACACATCCTATTAAAGTTATGTGCAACCTAAAGTTACACTTGGATGACAAGAATAGAAAAGAAAGATGGACTACACAAAGGGAAGCAAGAATCAATTGCTACTTCAACAAGTCCTCCACACACACACACACACGGAGAAAGAGATACATATAAATAGAGGGAGATAGAGAGAGAAAGAGAGAGAACACACACATAGTACGTCTTATACAACTGGCACACTAGGGAAAACCCAAATAACCTGGAGGAAGTCTGCTGCTAGGCTTCTGTCTCTTGGTCTGAAAAATCTCATCGCGTATTCGTGGCTGAGATGGATATGCTGGCCTATCATCTGGACGTTGTCTTTTAATTCTTTGAATCCTTTCCTCCCGCTCCTAAAACAAATAGCCTTTTTAGAAAGAGGGCATGGAAATTAGAAGATATTTTCTTTTTTGACATGTAAGAGATAGGAAACTATAAATTAAGAATACTTATCAAAAAATATATATTAAAAATAATATGTAGGTCCCCCACAGTAATAAAATTCACAAGAACATACCCCTATCAATGGGCACTTACTTCCCTTGTCCCTTATCTTTTTCCACTTTTTATAGAAAGAAGCAACAAAGAAGCAAGTTCTATTTCTTTTACTTTCTCCCCCTTTTGGCAGAGGGGAGATTGATAGGAGGAGGTACAGAGTATGGCACCAAAAAATAGTTCACATTATATAACTAAGCTGACTTGGAGATAACCAGATTACCAATAATGTTGAATATCCTCATTAATCAGAGGATAATCTGTTCAACGACCTAAGCGACTTCCACATCCATACTTTTTTGCTGATCCCAAACTGCTTGCCTGACTAAAAAGCGAAAAAAGAAAAGAGGAGGCACACCCGTGCGNGTCCCAATTTTTCATTTAGACACTTGAACTCGGGCTAGTACCTATTGAATACCTAAAGTCCTCTAAAAGTGTATTAATTAGACACATTTTGCTGAGATAGCCAAATAATAAAGTGCGTGCATTTCAAATGCAGTTGACTTGGCAAAACAAACCAATGAGACAGACACCTGGAATTTGATCCCACAACTAATAAGGAAAAAAGAGTTTTGAGGGAAAAATAAATAAAAAACTCCGTTATAGCTAACCCCCCCTCCCCCCGCCAAATCTCTCTTTCTCTCTCCATACATTTTCTTTCAATTTTTCCAGTAACTTTTCCTTAATATTTACATGAGCTTTTCGCAGCTTAAGACATGAAAACTCAGTTGCTGTAATGTCAAAACGGGATTTTTGAGCAGAAATCGGGAACTAGAATTGCTTTAGAGGAGATCTTGATATAATCACCACTGACCCAGGTGGAAACTCCATTAACAGAGAAAAAACAATGCTAATAAAATATGTAAAGAGGATAGACAAATAAGGAAAACATCTCTACTTAACTTCCTGAATTTCAAGCAAGTTTCTGCTTGACAAATGCAAATCTTTAAGGCAAATTTCTGATTTCAGCACACATATCCGGCAACTGATTCAGACACTGGTTTTGTATCATTAAATTTACAAGGAAAACTGAAGCTGATTATGGTGGTGTTAGAATTGGGTGGGATTGGAAAAACCAGATCTGAGGTTTTTTTACTGTTCTTGGTGGTGGTGTTTTGTTGGAGAAGCAAGAAGCGGGCTTGCTGCCGGCCATGAAAATTTCCGGCAAGGTAGGTCGTCCTTCAGGCAAAACCAGAATAAAAGAAAAAATATTTAAAAAGAGAAAGAGAAAGAAAAAGAAAAAAAAATGAATTTATTGCTTTTTGAGATACTAAACGCGCTTTAAGAGTGAGAAATACACACTTTGCCATGTCAGCAAAATGTGTCTAATTGGAACACTTTTGGAAGAGTTGTGGTGTTCACTGTTCAATAGGTACTAGCTCGAGTCTAAGTGTCTAAACGAAAAATTAGGACAAGTTAAGGTGCCCACGTATGTATTTGGCCAAAAATAAAATAAGCTAATCTTCATTCTTCAACCATGCTATGCTAAGGCCCCAACCAAGGACCTTGAGCCACCATATAAGAGTTCAGATTAACACGAACTCTGTACTAGTGAACCAAGGTAGTTTTATCAGCTGTATACCAGTAAGACTTCAGCAGCTTCAGCCTACCACTCATTGTAGACAACTCAAGCTTCTCATTGTGCTAGTTTATGGGTTAAGAAAAATCCAGCACTTAGACTTATTCAAAAGAAAGGGGAAATTTCAACACTTCGGATGCTTTCTCAAGCAACTGTTCATCTGTTTGAAAGATGCATAAAAATAGCATTCTCCAAAAAAAAAATTGTCTTAAAGACGTTGCACAAAGCTATCTACAGGAATTAATCTGCTGAAGACAAACAGCAAGCAAATATCTAATATAAAGGAGACATGCATCGAACAAAAAGCGGAAGAGATATCCAATAAAGAAGCAAGTTCCAGTAATAGTACAGCTCAATAGCTGATGTAGGGAGCAGTAGAAACAGAGACGTACGCGACGTGAAATCTCCACCGCACTCGTATAATCTGCACGGTCATCACTATGTTCTACAATGGATTCCTCCGCTTCCTCTTCTAATTGTTGTCCAAAGATCTCATCGTCATCCTGTGGCTGTGGCGAGGCATTCAGATCCATGCTGGTGATTCAAGTCTCACCAAAAGCATATGTCAAGGTGCCTGTAAGCAATTTATATTCTGTTCTTACAACAAATAAGATCGCACATAGAATTATTCAACTACCCTGTGGGGAAGGCTGAATTTATTCAAATCCAATGCATAGTTTTTTGATAAATAAAATTCCAATGCATCATTCAAATATTTTTTTTTTGATTTTGCACCGGGTGTCCGAGTCTCTTTGAGCCCCGACTAATCCCGGGGGTGCACAGGCCCTCGGCAAGGAGTTTCCCGCAAGTGCACCACGGTTAATTCAGGTTTTACCCAGTCCGATGGCCCTCAGAAATTGTTTGCACCCAGTGGGTTTCGAACTTAAGACCTTGAAAGGGAGCAAACCCCAAGGCTCAAGTCAATTGCCACCATAAGTTAATGAAGCAAACAAACATCATAAATTTGAATATTAAAGAAATACATCAATGCATAGGACACAAAAGGACATGATGATGGAGTCGAGATGATTTGAAACAATATAATAGTTGACTCGAGTCAAAGAATACAACCTTTTTTAGGACCAGAGAACTAGAGAGAAAAGAAACTCATAGTGATCTCCTCCAGTGCCATTATTTGAGTTTCATTTGGGTTCTCAAATACGCAGCATGGTCAATTTTGATGGAGAGAGGATAATTGTTTATGAATGACCATGGTTGCGAATTGAGAGGGCAACTAAGTGTAATTATGCCTACTTTAGCAGAAACGATTCATGACAGAGGATGCAAGCGTAATTCGAGAACTCAAGGAAGTGACCAAACATAACTTGGGCTGCAGAAGTACTTCTTACAGAATTTGTGTTCACTTGTGATCCTAAATATAAATTCACCAAAAGCGAAAAGCATATCAGATGGGCATAAGTCCAGAAAATAAAAAGGAGCTTTTTTTCTCCTTGAAAAAGGATAATATTAAATAGTACTCTCTTGCCCTTTATCACTCAGCAACAACGAGCCCCAACTGGTGCCTAGAAGCAAGTTTCATGCACTATTTAGCCCCTTGCGGCCTCCCTCTTTCTCCACCAGCAAACAACCGTTTCTGTTCTCTATTCCTCATTCCCAGCTTATGTTAACCTTCTCTCTCATGAATGCACTCTACAACCTCTGAATGGTCCCAGAAAGTAAGTTCTCCCTCCACCTCCTTAGACCAATCCCTAATTAGAGGCAATACCTATTTGCATGTTATGGGCACCCGCCTTTATCCAAGTGAACTAGAATTAGGCATTGTTTTACAACCAAGTGACTACCCCAACTGCTAAACATTTAGAAATCTTAATCTGAAAATGATAATGGTTATAAAGAAATTCAAACAATGTAATTTCAACATGGCATAAAAGTTATGAAATGCACATCAAATGCTTTAAGCTCTGAATGATCTCAATTGTGTTGAAAGTCTCGCTTCATTTAAAACTACAATCTTATGGTCCATCTCTACCCTCCTCCCCTAACATATCTTCAAATCTACCAACTCACCTTTGTATGATCTTAGAATTTGAATTACGAAAGCTAATCTCCAGCATATAATAATAATAATATTATTGTTATTAATAATGGAGACTTTTAATATTTTCACTTCAATCACAAGAAGGAAGCCTTATCTGTCAATTTCAAAAAACTGAGGGGTATAAATCACTGAAAATCGAGAGGTTTAAAATTATACTTAAACCATAATTTATTTATAGTTGAATAGAAATACAACCTCTATCAATAAGGAAACCTTAGGTAGAAAAAGAGAAAAGGAACAGCTACGTACTACATAATGTTTAATTTAGCCACAAATCAGCCTTGCTCTTTTCCAGCAAAAAGTAACAGAGGCAAAGAAACAAACCTCCAATGCCTGAGCAGTCCTGTATTTCGGGACATTCAGTTATGACATGCATATGTTTTCACTCACTCTCTGTAATTATGGCTGCGAAACTATAACAACTCCGGTTTAAAAAACAACTGACTGTTTGAAAAAATCCTGGGAAAATGGAATCATTTAAGAGGAATGAAACTCAAACAAAGAGAAAACATATGACAGATTTAGCAAAGAGTGCATGTATTTCATCACTAAACTTTCGTTTAATGGTGAATGAGAGTGTATTTATTTCATGAACTTTACCTTTTATTAGGTTGTTAACTACTTTATTTCAGCAATTCACAAATTTGTTAAATAAAAGATAATAAATGGAGACCGGTTATAACATTATGAAATTGAGCCCATATGGCAGAAAGCAGAAGCAGCGGGTACGTCTGTTCGGGTTCATTCATGTCCAATAAACTTCAAACAAAAGGAGATTCGGGTATCATGAATGCACTCTACAACCTCTGAATGGTCCCAGAAAGTAAGTTCTCCCTCCACCTCCTTAGACCAATCCCTAATTATAGGCAATACCTATTTGCATGTTATGGGCACCCACCTTTAACCAAGCGAACTAGAATTAAGCATTCTTTTACAACCAAGTGACCACCCCTTCCATCAGCTGCACTCAATTTAATTTCCACTTNGTTCTCCCTCCACCTCCTTAGACCAATCCCTAATTATAGGCAATACCTATTTGCATGTTATGGGCACCCACCTTTAACCAAGCGAACTAGAATTAAGCATTCTTTTACAACCAAGTGACCACCCCTTCCATCAGCTCCACTCAATTTAATTTCCACTTAGTGTGTGCAAACCTAGACCTCACCTGGATTAAGTTCATCCAGTGTAATAGCACAACTATTATGAAGCTAATCTAACTCTTGATAAGCTCCTGTGAGATGTGGCTAGTATTGGGGTCTAAATCCAAAAAGTATTAGCACGTTATAATTTTTCTATGAGATGCAACACATGGTGCTCCTTCCAGTAACATCACAACATTCACGAGGCAATGACTCTTACTCTTGCTTCTTTTTGGCTTGTGTTTGTTTAGGGACTTATTGCAATAGTTTTGAGTTTTGACTCAAAATTGGAGAAGGTACACCCAATTTGTGCAAGAACCAGAGGTAGTAGATTCGTTTCACATTATTTACAATTTTCCAACCATTTTCTCCATCTGTTCTTCCCGGAACAACTTCTTGAACCCACTCAGTACTCACCTAATGGGTGAAGTACCATAGCACAGAATTAGCTAGACCCACCAGTTTGACTTACCAGTGGTAGACAACTCATAGTTGAGAAGTCCAATTTTAACTTGGGTCTATATCATAAACTAATAGAGAAAACCAACCACCTCAACCCGCTTTCGATTGAATTGACCAAATAGAAGTCAACCTTTTGAAAAACTTTCCATCACCAAAAGCCATAGAGAAAATGATCCTAGGCAGACCAAACCAATAAAAGATCACTCTACCTTAAACGATGTGCATCAGATTCGATAACATGGATATATGCATATCCTTCACCCTCTCCTTACAAATACCTGGGCCAGGAAGAAGAAAAAAACACTTATTCAGATTTGACAACTGTGATCTCCACCAGGTTGATCTGTTTGTTTGATTTACATTTATAAATTCATCTCCTACAAACTTTTAGCGTTCCATCCTCAAATCCCATTCATTTGGTTTCAGGTGTATAAGCAGCAAGTATATACAGCCGGAGCATCTCAATCACAAGAGCATTAAAGAGTACATGCACCAAATACCAAATTAAGCCATCATTAATCATTAAAAACAGGCTGAACAGGCAATTCCACACCTTCTGCTTGGTGGGCAATCTCACATACTAAAGATGTGCCAGTTGAAAACCTTAATCTATAGGATGAAATCCCAGTATTCAGGAACAAGGAAGACTATCACCATTACATTCAAAGGATCAACAGTATTAAGTACAATAACCAAGTTACTGAAATCACAAATGCATCATCCAAGCATAGAAACAACAATCTCCTATAACATGAAAATTGTCAAAGAACAACGACAATATTCAACACAAATTAATTCTAAGAAGTGGTTAAATGTTTAAAATCTCCATACCAATTTTAATACTCCCTTTGGAAATTTGTTTGTCACTCATTCCTTTATTGTCTATCTCAAAAAGATTGGCACTGAACTGTTTAAAATCTAATAATTATTACATTCCCATTTTACCATTGACATGACGAGTTGTAGATCCCACTAAATACAAAAAAGAACAATTCGGTACCAAAGGCACTTTAAGCTTATATCAGAAGTATTTAAACTCCGTATCTAGCCGAATACCGCCAAGCAAAATTGGGATGAGGGAGTATTTCTTAATGAATTCTCCACATTTAACAATTCCAGCTTAACCATGCACATTACGTTTATAGCACCAAATCTCCACGGCGAAAGCTGCCAAGAACTAGATTCTACCACCGCACACAAAACACCAGTAGTTATAAATCAATATTCCAAGTAATAAATGACTTGTGAACTACGTCATCATGTTGACAAAGAACGTTCCTGTACACCGATGCCAAAGGAAACCCCAACAAGTGTAACAAACCAATTCTATTTCAGAAACCCTGGTAAAAGCCCAATCAAACCCCAACACAATTAAGACATTCAGGACAGCAAAATGACAAACAAACAGCACGTGCTCCTCAAAAAAATATCGGACCAATGCAGCCAAAACAGAAGCTAACATCGCGAATATCAGTCTCAATTTCAAAGCTACACTGTGAATTTAGACAGAAAAGTGCAAGAAACAAAAGCAATTGAACAAGGATAGAACAGAAAATAACAAATAAAATGAATTTGGATTAAGCCTTACTCTGATATCTTTCAAAAACAACACTAACAACAAATAACAGATAAACGATTTCGTATTAAGCTCAAAAAATAATAATCAAACAGACGTGCTCCCCAAATATATCAGTGTCAGCCACTATAAAAACTAAAACTTCGAGAGAGAAAAAACTAATCAAAATCAATTCCACACCAACACATTGCATACAACAGCACGGAGCATACAAAAAAACTAAGGTATGATTAAACCTAGCTCCAAACTGTAGATTACACAGTTACCAAATCTCATAAAAATATTTTTAAAAAAAAGAGCTGATAAAAAATGCATACAAATAATTAGTCCAAAAATAAAAATAAAAATAAACTCAAATTAGCTAAAAACGAAAAGGAAGGAGAAGAATTCAAACCTGCTTTATACCGTAAAGCGAACTGGAAAACCCTAGTATTAATTAGAAATGCTATGATTCCTCAACAACAACAAAAAAATGGAAACTTCAAAACCCTAGATGGAGAGAAAAATGAAGCGGCGGTGATGTTAGAGAGAGAAAGACGGAGAGTGATCAGAGAGAGAGAGATTCATGGCTTAATACATGACGAATACAAAGGATTTTACCGATTGCGAAGAAATGAAAATGAAAGAGGAAGATATAGATGGTTGAAAACTGAGAGAATTATACACATGTTAAGTACGTACATGTGATCTTATTAGGAAAGAATAATTAAGAAAAGAGCCGAACCTGGGGCTGGGAGGTTGGAACTTGGGGGTTGGCTATTTAGGGTGCTGAGGTGTGAGTAAATTCTAAAAAATTTAGATTGCTTTAAAAAAATAAAAAATAAAAACTTATAAGCTAAAAGTAAAATGTCTAAGTTAATAATATCCAATTTTAAGCTTTTGGCTTATTTTTGTACTTTTCATACCTAAAACTAAACGCTTTTAAGTATTTTTTGTCAAACACTACAAAAATTAGAAAAGTGTTTAAAAGTCAATAAGCACTTACAATAAATCAATCCAAACATCCTCTAACCCAATGGAATCGTATTGATTATCAGACTTTATTTTGATAAGATCGTAAGTTTTTATATAAATATATTATTTCGTATATTAAATTTAAAAAAAATAAAGTATTTATTTTTTCCTAACGCCTGTGAAAACGAATTAACATGTGATTGACACCCAAAGTTCTAACTCCTAAACCTATTTTGGTACTCCTGTTAAAATTAAATTAGTTCCAGCATTTTAAGTAGAAAGTCACAAAGTATTCCAACGATTTTAAGTAGCAAACAATATGGTATTGAATATCTTCCCTCTCGTATGATTTAGATTTTATTTGTTGAATACTTAATCTTCTAATAGATTTTATTCTTGAGTCCCAATGATTAATATTTTTCGTGATTTATATTCCTCTCGTCTTTACTTAATGTATTTTATGCTGCTATAAAATAGTGAGATGACTTTATTCTGGCTATTTTTCATGTTCCCTTGATTTATCACCTCTTAAACACGGAGAGTTTTTCAGTCATATGCATGTTATTATGTTTTACTTCTACTAGCGATTCCAACATGACATTTAAAAGAATATCAAAAATTAATCAAACTGTACCGATACCGATACCGATACCGAAGAGAAACTAATATGATTGGTATAGTTACGAAAAGTCTAATTTTTGTTCTACAAAATAAAGCAATCAAAAAATTAGTCTCATACAAATTTTATAAAATAACCATCAGAACCGAACTATTGATACCCCTAGTGAGTGTATCCACACCAGAGCTCCGACTAAGAAGCACTTACTATTAGGATTTTTCTATTTTCGAGCCTCAAATTTGCAAGGTCTGATTAATCGAAGAAATACTTTATTCATTCCACTAAAATCTTGGATAATACGAAGCTTATTTATACTCATATTTTATGAAATATGTTCAATTTTAGGTATAACAGTGCATAAAACAAAATTTAATTATATCTACCTCGAATTGTATAAACACAAGAATTGATTAAGAATATATGCAATATGTATCATATTAAATTATTGTAAACGATCACATTTGCAAATGAATGCAAGTAGTTCATATGATTAAATTGCGTTCTGTAGAAGAAAATAAAAATCCCTAATCATCGAGTAGTAGAATAAAATGGGTCAATATAAAATGAGCAAGTATAGGTGATGGTTGGTTAGGAGATATTGTTTGAATCAAACAAAGTGCTAGGTTGCATTTGCTGCTCGAGATGTGCGTACGACAATGTGAGAAAAAGGGGACGTGACTGATAGGCTAATTATTTTTGAGTAAGAATAGTATTAAGGGGACTGAATCATTGTTAATCTGAGAGAGAATTAAATAAATAAATCAAAATCAGTCATGTATTATTGAATATTAAAATTCAAAATGCATTACGTGCGTATAATCCATGCACCTTGAACAACAAGTTTCGATAGAAAAAAAACTATTCTTGCAACATACATATGTAATGACAAATTATTCACTCCATGAATTTAAACATGCCATACTCAGATGGAGAGTAAACTGTTAATTTAAGTCGAGTGAATATCAATATTTAATATACTAGTCCCATCGAACCAACATGCAAATTCAGATGAAGAGTAAATACAAGTAATCAACAACTAGTATAACCCAGTGATTATCTATAATAAATTTATCCGATATGGAAGAAGACCTGCGTCAACGTGTAAAATTATTATATCACCAGAATTTAACCTTGGAGGCTAATTCGGGCAAATAGTGACTTTTGCATTTTCCTTTGATTAACGAAATTTTTAGATTATTCTAATCAAATATCATCAACAATAAGCAAATATTACATGATTTTCAGAATAATCATAATATTCAGAACAAATATTCATGCTAAAAAACAATGCAGTTTTACAGAAAATTAATCTTTGCATTTAATTCAAAACTTGCATATTAACATGATACTACCTTTTTTATGTTCACCCTAATCATTTAATTAGACCTGAGTAGGCTTTTATACCAATTGATGGACTATATATCGCAGCGGAAGCAATTATAATCATATTCACGTGTAAATCAAACAATTAACATACACAGAGATTATTCGAGTTACCTCTTGAAGCGTAAACAAAATAAATTAATCTCGGTCTCCAGTTCCAGAGTTGCAAGACCGCGACCTCAGCAAAGCCTCCACAGTCTTCTACTATGTTACCCAAATAATATCCGGAAAAAAAAAAAATTCGGGTGGGCGAAATTCCAAGGAAGAAAAACGTATGAAACCAGTGTCAAAAACGGCCAGCCATATATGGAATATATATAGCCACGTTTTTTAGGTTAAAACCTTTTTTCAAAACCTGATAAGTTTTCTTCTTCCACTAAGGAAATGTTTCCTTTATTTTCTATTATTTAGACACAGTAGGGACCATAAAATTTAATTAACAAGGTTTTCTATTATTGAATTAATTTCGAAATTTGAAATTAATTTCTACCATAATAAATCATGAATTATTCCACTAAAAATTCGTAATCGCATTCCTTAGTTCAATTTTGAAATTCTTCCATAAAACCTTATTTAACTCCCCATGTTAAGATTCATATACTAACCAATCAAATTAAATTACTGATAATTTAATTTATCGATTACTTCCTTTAGACTTTCGCTTAACTTATTTCATGTGTCGGATACAAAATTTACCGGTCGGGTTTACACAAGAAAACTTATAAGCTTTCATAAAGGAGTATCATCGATCTCAAAATCCGAGACATGAATTCTATCAACTAATTATTATTTCGCCAATGTATATCATTATTGTCCAATTTACCAGGCTTATTGACCCACAAAAGAATCTCGCCTTTTAATAAATCAAAATAATAATTGACACACACAACTAATAATAATTATATCAGGATTAAGAGTATAAGTACATTGAATGGACTACGAAAATTATTTTATTAAGTAAGTATAAAATACTTATCTCTACTTGATCCGTTCAATACATACAAAATGTACTAGCACAAGAAGTCGGAATTAAACCATTCCATAATCAAGACAAATTATATTTAATCTTGTGCTACAACCATTCCGATGGTTTGTCCAATTCCATCATTAGATTGTGAACATAAACTTTATGACTTATAAGAATCGATAATTTAATCTTTCGTGTATGAGCTAAATTCTATACACTAAATCATTTACTATATAAGCAACGGACGCACAGACAAGTACATGATCTATTTTTAAAAAAAACTTTATTGAATTGAATAAATAAATAAATAATTATTCCATAAAGAATACTATAACAATACGCATGATTTATAGTATATCGTAACCCAAACAACAATGGTCTCGTGTTAGAAACACGCAAGTGTCACAAGCTGATGTGTGAGTAACTTTTGTTCTTTTAATTCCTTTTGTCGTTCTTGTATTCGTTGCATTGATTATAAATTCATCCTTGGATGGAGAGAAGACGATACGTGATTTATATATCGGAAAAGAGTCAAAACTACCATCAGACTATTCGATTTGGTATAAATATGTCCTCCGTCCACCTATTGAGCCAAAAATGTCCCCATCGTTAACTTTCTGGCTCACTTATGCCCCTACGACTAACGACCAATACTAAGTAATTTTTTAAAATTAAAATTACACGTGCCAAATTTTTATTGGTTAAATTTTAAATGATGACTCTAATTAAATAAACCTGCCCTTAACCCTTTTTTTACCCAACCCCAAAATCCGACCCACCTAAAAAAATAGCCAAACTCTTGATTGTTAAAAAAATTAATTTATCCATCTTTTCAACTCTATCATCACCATAGTTGCCACCATCCCCTTTCCTCCATAACAACCATGTTTTCACCGCAACCACGATTCTCATGTTTGCTCCATTCCTCCATTTTCGAACAATAACATCGAGAATATTATGCTAATCGAAAGGGTCCGATTAGAATTTTTTTAATTTTTTTCGATTTGATGTCCTTTCTTTGTTGTAAAATTAGGATTTTGTTCAAGGAGGATTACCTAAGTCATAAATTTTTATTTTTTTACAAATTATTACCATTTGGGTCTAACAACTGAATAAGAGTTTGTAAAATTTACAAAAAATTATGAAGAAAAAATTGGATTCCTGAATTTAAAGCCCATGAATTCATAATAGGTTCGTTGATTATCTTATGTGATAAGAAAGAAAAAAAGATTTACCATTGTAAGTGACATATGAATGTGAACATTAGGATCTTTTGACGAATATTTTTTAAAAATGACAGCTCCAATGGTAAATGCAAAATAAAGAAGATAATAAAAATATGAAAAAAAGACCAAAACTGCCCTTAGACTAAAAATATGGTGGTAGTGTGGTCGCTATGGAGAAAAGGGGATGGTGGCGACTATGATGGTGGTAGAATTGGAAAGATGGAGAAGTTGATTTTTTTTTACAATCAATAGTTTGGCCATTTTCTAAGGTGGGTTGGATTTTTGGGTTGGGTTAAAAAAAAGGGTTAAGGGTGGGTTTATTTAATTGGGGTCATGGTTTAAAATTAAAACAATAAAAAGTTGTCACGTGTAATTTAAGTAAACCTTTTTTATTTGGTATTGACCATAGTCGTAGGGGCATAAGTGAACCAGAAAGATAACGGTGGGGACATTTTTAGCTCAATAAATGGACGGAAGGCATATTTATACCAAATCAAATAGTCTGAGGGCGGTTTTGGTCATTTTCCGTTTATATATAAAGTGCACTAGGAGGTTTATGAGTTTTATTAAAATCCAACAGTTAAGCAGATGAAGGTAATAAGCGACAATTGCATCGTATAAGAAATACGTAAGTGTCATGATGTGATTCTTTTTCTAATTCATTTATCATTAGTATCATTATATATTTTCTCGTTCAGAAAAAAAAAACAAAAGAATATTTATGCGTTTTATTTCTTCACCAACACTTTATCAATGTTTCATATGATTGATGTAAGATTTCATAAGGATGAGCATATATTTAAAGAGATAGATCTAGAATTTACATTTGATGGGTTTAACTTTATGCTCTTAACATGAAAATCTATTATATATTTAAAATTATAGGTTCAAAATTATATTCTTTTTTAAAATTTAGTGACTTTTACATATATATATATATATATCTATACTACGTATCGAAAACAGGGATTTAAACCGCCAATTTCACTTGTAGAGATGCACCAAATAATGATTGCATTATAGGAGTGTTTGAGCTAAGGTGCACGCACATATATTTAAGTAATTTTAAAAAGATATACCATTGTTATACATGATTTTGGAAGAGAAGCATGGATTCACACGAACCCACATCCCTTAAGATGCTTTTTTTTTTTGATAATTTTGCTATGTGTGGCGGATAAAAAAAAAATAGTACTTATGAGTCTGGTTAATATTCCTTCCAGCATTTTGTAAATGTTTCACATGATTTGAAAACACATCTTTTTATATAATTGGCTAATTTACTAGTTTAAATATACAATATTGTGACTTTGTGAGTGCAAGAAAAGAAGGAGCATTTTATACAACGGAATTTTGTATCAAAACTAAACTAAGTAAAACGAATAGTACATTACTATTTTCTAAAGAAATTTTCTTAAAAATGAAGTCTAATAACCCAACTGTATGTACAATCATGGACTTACATCGTTTATCTAACAAGTAACATATAAGTAATATTTTCAGTATAAAAGGAAATCAGACCTTCCAAAAACTGGGCAGTCCAAACACACTACTAATAGCCTACTCTCCAAACGACCATGCTACTCATTTTATAATTTTTATTAATATTCTCCTTTAGTTTTTTAGTGATTTATCTTTGTGTTTGTACTACTTCAGTTTTTAAAGTTGCTCTGTAATAATCATAGATATGAACTAACAATAAAGTTATTCAATAATGTCTCACTTTTTTCTTATATAAATTACAGTGCAACGTCGTACTTTCGATGTAAACTAGAAATTTTACAGTTTAAGGAATCGAAAAACACATTTGAACAGCTAACTTATCAACAAACAAGAATATTGGATCTTTGTAAAACTTTTAGAAGGCGTGACTGACATAGTTACGTAACAAATTAAAAACAATCACACAAGTCGACAAGTAATTCTCTGAAGGCATAAAAGACACCATAATCATGCTGTCAATATTTAGTTGTGTGCATAAACAACAAAAAGAAAGGTGAAAAAAGCCAATATTAGTTTGTGTGTACTTATCCATATATACTATTCCAGTTTGCAGCAAATAATTAGACTGACTTTGTGTGTTATAAGTTGTCTTCATCCTTTATACTGCTTGTTTTATATGTCTTAAACTCCATTTTGCCTCGTAATTAACAGCTTACAAGTTTACAAAATAAATATTACCAAAAGATCTTACACCGTCTGATCAAAGATAAATTAATGACTCCACTTGCTAATGTAACATTCATTGAAGATAAGCGTGTGAGTATTTAGTTTTATGTTAATTTCATCTGTAACATTGTTTATGATTTTGAGTTATATGATGGATAAAGTGAGTACATTTTTCTGCTTTTGTTGTATAATAAGAGAAAATAGCCGAAGAAAAGGTCATTATTAGACAAAGAATTTAAGTAACAGTATAATTTTTCTTCTTCTACAAACCTCCTTTTGCTAGACCGACTATACAAGGAATAGACATCCACAAATATAATATTTCCAAACAGCTTTGCAATTTGTTAACACAAAAACTTTTTGGTTTATCAATCCCATATTAATTAAAAACCATGCATATATTGACCTGACTTAACATAAAATTAGCCATCTATTTGAACGATAATTGGTCAAGATTCTCAAATCAAATTATATAATCTTTCCTGTGATTAATTTATTAAATGAATATTAACATTAATAAATTGTTAATATTAATAAATTAATATAAATATATTATTAATCTTTTGGTGTGCAATTACAAAGTCTTCTTTCTACTCATCAAACATTTTGGACATCCCTTTTCTGAGGTAAAGGTACTTTCTTTGTACATCTCTCTGAACTAATAAGCTTAGATGCGATTAGCGTTAAAAACAAAATTACGTTCCTACGCTCCAAATTTAGCTTTACTTTTTCCTCTCCAAATTTAGGTTTATATACTCCTGTTTTTATTTTTTTGGTTGCATCATTGGCATTTTTACCCTTTTATACTCCTTTAGTTATTTTATTTTTAACTTTATAAAGGAGTATCAATTTTTAAAATAAATAAAAAAGAAAAGTAAGACATATAAGTTAACTAGGTAATCCCAACAATGTGACAATAGAATGTTGTTGTAATATTGTTGTTCAAGTAGAATGTTATTGTGAAAAAATATGAGTGCAGTAAGATTTGCATCCATTATTGCGTCATTATGTTCATCAAGCATGGCGTTGTGAAAGAAGCCCTTTTGAAAGAAGCTATTCACGAACAAATGGACAAGCATAAAGAAATACTAAAGAAATACTGATCACTATTGTCTTTATCTTAATAAAAAAAAAAGGAAGCAAGTGTCTTGGATTCAAATATTCAACCAGAAAATAAATTGCATCCAATTGTATAGGGGTTTAATCTATTCATTAAACCTCTATCTGTCCTATTGTATATTCAATGATGTACTAATACCAATAAACTAAATTTAGTTTAATGAATAAATTAAAATATTTAGAATAAATAGATAATAGAGTGGATAGCGGGAATCGAACCGGCATCGTTAGCTTGGAAGGATAGGGGTTATAGTCGATGCCGATTCATTATTTTTAAAACCGAACATGAAACTTTGGTTTCATTTGGCTCCCACTAGATGGCGAATCAATCAGGGATGATACACCAAGGTGCATGGTGAGATACAATAGGCGAGGAGTGTCCATCCCCAAAAGATGTCTGCAATGCTTTCATTTCATAAAGATGGCATGGTTGGACACAACAAAACCTATTTTGCAGAATGGGCTAGAAGAGTCATTGATCAAGTTAGGCTAAGCAAAGTGGAGCAAGCCTCAGCTGATCAAGCAAACCAGCAACAAAATGATTCAAAAGCATGTGTATGCTAGCCTTCTGTTAGGGGCAGACTTTGTAAGAGTTAAAATCAAATGTATACACTGTTTGCCGAACATCATCATCTGCAAAACAGGCTCTGCTGTTTAAACAAATGAAGTATAGAGCATTTTCCATTGTAAATATTCAGCTTTTTTCTAGGATAAGCACACAATTATCATTGTCATATAGCAAGTATTACAAAGAAAAATAAAAGTGAAAAGAGAAAACAAGAAACTAATAAGAAGACTGATATATGGACTTCCTATAGTTGCACCCTTGCTGTCCCCAATCACTAAAAATTAACCACTGCAGCATTTGTATGATGCCTTGAATAGATTGTGTGTTTCTCTCATCTTCATCAAGACTTGCACCAGGAAATGCAAAATAGCGCAAAAGATCGCCTTTATCTCCGTGAAAACTTGGACAGCAAATATATCACAAAGAAGCAAAATAGCGCAAAAAGAATAACATGCATCACATGGTTTGATCCTTCCTGGATGATACTTCTGTTCAATCGTCTCATATTGTTCTTCACCCCTGCTTGAGCTTTGATCAGTGTCATTTGCTGTGATAATGGGAAGTGCAAGTTTTTAAGGAAACGGGGAAATCATGTAACTTACAAGAATGATTCCATAATCAATAAAATAAGCATACATCATGAGAATCTCAGATAGACCGACCAACCAACACATTTATAAACAATGCCACACAAACTCTAGGAAAGTTTACTACTTCTAACGGCTTGAAGCAATCTATTGCAGCAATTTGCTAGACGGGATAACTATTAGAATACAGATTTACAATCAGTTGAACATATGCAGTGTGTAGTTCAATATCCCCGCACAAATTACCCTCTAAGAACAAAGAAAAAAAAGAGAATGGAATCAAGTTTGGGCTTTTTATTAGATCTAACAAGGATGTATCTTTCAAAGTACTAGAAAACCTAAAAGAAAAGCATAGAGCAACAAAGGCATTCAGGCAGGTTGGTTTGGCAGTACGTAAGGCAAACAAAGACTACGAGTACACTGTCATTTCCAAAATATTTACAGTAATAACAATTGCAATTCCCAGCATTTATAGAAGGAGAGAGAGTGTTAGATTGTTATCCAGCCTTAGGAACATAAACACAAAACAAGCTCCAATATACAAAAACTTAATTGTTAAGGTACATAAATATATGGAAAAGTGATTTAAAGGACTTAAAGAATATCAAATATACTTGGAAGAAAAGGAGAACAAGTTCATGGCATACCAGTTGGTTAATAAAATCATTCTGAAACTTTGCTTCAGACTCAATTTCTTGGGCTACCTGCAGCAAGAAATATCTATAAGTACTAGCAAAAGGGTAAGTTTGAATAAAAATCTGAAACCCTGACAAAGATGAAATGACAAGGCAGACAAATGAGACATTGGAAAAAATGACCTATAAGGAACATTGTATGGATCCACGGACAGGATATAGGAATGATAACCTCTCTCTCAGCCTGTCGTGAATGAACTATATGGATAACATGACACTGGTCCCCCTATTCTCAGATTTCACTAGGACAGATTTACAACCTAGAAATAAGCGCTGATGTCTCTCTAGCATCCACCTCAAGACCAGTTGAAGTATGTCAGCATGATAAAGCATCAATATATGCCGATATAAAAAATGAAGATAGATATAAGTAACCACCGGAAAAAGGAGTCATGGGTGTGAAAACACAACCTTTCTTCAAGATTGGTGACCAGGAATAAGTCAGTACTTGCTCCACATACAGTCAAAACAATTGATTCCATCCAACAAGAAGTTCCTATACAATGTCTTTTATGCAAAGTATATCTCGGGGGGGGGGGGCAGAATATCTTGACAGTTGGCATTGTTTCCAAAACAACGCAGTCTTACCAGTGAAAACGTAAAGCCAAAGAGTGAATTAACATTTTTCTCATAACAGTGGTGTGTGAGCCAACTTGTGCACATCTCAGCCATTTCACCGAGTCCTTGCTACCTCCAATTTGGCACAAGTATTGGGTAATTCCACCCGCCAAGGCTTAGGCATATGGAAATAAATAACCTACTGTTTTTGTATTTCTGCTGGGACTAGAACCCTGATCTCCAAGGTTTGAACTCAGTTCATTGACTACTAGGCAACAACCTTGGGTTGATTAACAGCTTTATTAATCCAGTACGATACGATAAATTAAAGGTAAAACATAAAATCTACATTTCCATTCCCAATTCTAAGATGAAATCCTAAATTAAAGGATAGAGAACATTCCTGAATGCAACATTGCCTTGTTTCGCTCAATCCCGAACACAGTATAGTCATTACGCTTTCGTTTGCTCGTGGAAGAGACTTCAACTATCTTCAACCTATATGCCTAACAAGTTTCACAGTGGTGTTCTAAGAAATACTATTATCAGTGTCCCAAGACAACACATCACCTTATTTGAAATGGATCCATGACATAACACATCACCAAATTTGACATGTACATGCATATTAAATATGCCACCGGTTATGCAAAAAAAAAAAAAAAAAAAAAAAAAAAAAAAAAAAAAAATACAAAATACAAATATAAAGCCACAGACAAGGTTATAGGTAAGCATACATTTCTAAGCTGTTTTACTTGTTTGCGAAGACCTGTAATCTCGTCATCT